TTACATCCCCCTTAATTACTTTAAGAAGGATGAAGTGAGTATTTATTGGTCTGTGAAGGTCAGCTGATAAAGAAAGCCAGCGTATAAAGGGATGTCTGGCAGTCGCTCAAACACTTTGGTCCAGACTTACATTTCTCAAAAACCCTTCAATTGATTGCAATGACATTTGGTAAAGCTAGTCACGGTTCCCAGAGGATGACTCCTACCAACTTTGAGGATCCCCTTAGTTTTTACTTTAACACCACCACAAGGTTCAAATTGGTGGTTTTGAGTGAAATGTCAAGACTATTAAATTGATAGCCATGAAATTCTAAGATTCATGTCACCCTCAGGATTCATTATAGAACGGTAATTTCTTAATAATTTACAAAACTAATGAAACTCACATTAGCCTTAGCTGTAGGTTACTTCTTACTTATTAGCAAATATTAGCTTGTGCATGTTAGCATACTGATACTAGCTGGCTTTCTGCCAGATGGAACCAGTTTGACTGATATCACACACTGATACCACCCTTAAATTACTTATTCATAATCAACATGTTATAATCCCATAGTCAGCTTGGAAAATCAATTACATTTTATCCATACCAATATCACAAGTCACAAATTCTACAGAAGAGTGATCCTTCAGGCAGGACAGACCACACTGAAGTATATGTTAACAGAACATAATGAGAACATATATGAAAAAGATGGATCCTGGATTTCCTCGAGGACAGAGAGCCAGATCCACATGTGGAATGAGGCACTGTCAGACTGGAGAGAGAGAGAGAGAGAGAGGAGAGAGAGAAATAGAGAGAGAGAGAGAGAAGAGAGGGAGAGAGAGAGAGAGAGAAGATAGAGAGAGAGAGAGAGAGAGATATTACATCCCCTACTGTGTTGGTCATGGTTGTAGGATTTTCGTGTGTGGTGGAGCTCCGAGCAGGGCGGGGCGGGGCCTGAGGTGGAGTGAGGAAGAATACACAGATTCCAAGTAAAATAAATAAAACTCCTGGCAACGTTACAACCCCTGGCAGTCTGCTCAGCCCTGCAGAAAGAAACAAATGAACACACGCACTGTGGGCACACACACTGAACACATACACTGTCTACACACAAAGTGTAGGCGGCACTCGCTCGACAGCTGATCCTGTTCCCTCTAGGTTCACTCAACCAGAGAATTAAGAAACTCTGGAGGCTGATTTTCAACTTTTAACAGTCACGCAAGGCTCTGTCATTCCTGAACTCAACAATGTTCCTGACTTTTTTAAAGGTTTCCTATTATAATGTTTTTCATCAATATATTAGAGGTCTTACGTTGAACTTTTCTCAACTTTTGAAGCGAGCAAAGCGAGCAAAGCGAGCAAAGCGAAGCGACGGAACCACAATGGGCACACTTTGCCGAACTGCATTGTGGGAGCGTCACTTCGGTTTGCTCGCGTTGCTCGCGTTGCTCGCGTTGCTCGCTTAAAAAGTTGAGCAATGTTCAACTTTTGAAGCTTCGACGGAAGCGTAAGCCAATCAAATCATATGCCAGTACAAGCTCTAGCCAATCAAACCGTGTGCTTGTGTGTCCGGGGCGGGAGATTCATGTGATTGGTTGTTGGTCGAGTTTCAGACACGCCCGCCAGCAAGCTTCAACGCACGCCGCCGTGTGGACGCTGCGTCAGATATATACAAAACATGTCTCTGAAGTGTTTGGCTCGAAATACCAAACAGATCATGCATTGTAGCATCCCATAAACCCCTCTGTTTCAAAAGTACTGATTCTCTGTCTGTTACTTTAGATGAAAATAAGGAGCCACTCCCCACGCCCCTCTGAGAGATATTTGGTTAAAAAAAAACAATGGTGCTCTAGGAGGAGAATCAGGTGATAAGGTGTGGGGGGGGTTAACTTGGTTGGTTATTGGCTAATGGTTACACAAGCCAAAAAATCGTTATGACATCATAAAGTGGACAAACTGATCAGCTCATTTTCAGACAGGTTTTTATAGAAATGGATCAGGACAAAAACTTTCAGAATCTCTTTACACAGAGGGGACACATGTTTATGTATAAAAGACATGAAAAAGTGGATTTTGCATAATAGGTGACCTTTAAACTTTAACAGGAAGTGCGCACACAACATTTTAGCTATTACGACACTGCATGTTACCTGAGACTTTAAAGCAGGCACGCACGACATGGGCAGGGCAGCTAGGTCATGAAGAGTTATGTTGCTTTAAAAAAAATCTACATAAGCATCTAAGAAATCCTTACAGATTAGCAGCATCAAGCCTGAGGATGGTGGTGGTGGTGTTCTGCAGGGTGTGGCCATATCAAGCAGTCATGCAGTTTCCATGTTGATCGGTGTCTTTATTACAGGAGGGCGTGGCCGGCTTCTAGCTTCTGAAAAGAACTTGACTCCTTTTGTTGCTGCATCATGGAAATCTCTATTCAGAAGTAGTGTTCGGTTTGGATTCCAGACTTGACCCATGTTTTTAAAGCAGGGTTTACTGACAGCATTAATTAGGGTTAATAACAATGCAGTTATTTTGTTGATCCCTGTAGGGAACGTCTGATAACTTGTCTTCCCCTTAATGGCAGGTGAAAGTTCATTTACAGGGCAACATTTCTGGAGCTGTCAGGGAGTTGTTAGCTAACATACTGTACATTTGTGTAAGCACTTCACCTTCATGTGACAATATGACATTTAACCCCCTGGATGACCTGAACAAAGTTGAATTTATGAGCAGGTTCTGTATATTTACTGTTCACACTGGAAAAGCAACTGCATTGGGTATACTAAAAGGTATCTTGTACTTAATAAACATTGATTTTTGAGTGTACTGTTAAATTAACATTTTTTTTCCCTTTATGGATGCCATTACTTTACCTTTACAGAGCATATTGTTGTTTGGTGCCATATAGAACCTTTCAACTTACATTTTATTGGTTTTTGGCCATTTGAAGGGCATTTTTATACTAAATGTTAACATGACATTGACATAAAATCACCTTTTATGTTCATATAGGGAACATTTTAGCAAACAGTTGCCTATTTACACATAAAGCAGTTACATCATAAATGGTTATTTAGAGTCGTGTTTCTACCTGGTGATAGTCCAATACTCCTTTTCTTTTTAACTCCATTTTTGGACTTTACCAGCTCTTAAAGGAAATACTTGGCTCTTTAGCTGCTCAATGGTCCACTACGTTCATCATATATTCCCTAATTCTGTCCGTCTGATTTTTGGTGCTTTGGTGTACATTGTGTTTTCACAGAAACAACTGCTGCGTTTGGAAACAGCGCTGATGACGGCATGACCCAAAAGTTGCAGGCTATAAAACCAAAACAATGTCCCAATTTCCTCCCTGAACCCTCTGGTAAGTGCTTGGGTGGGAGAGGCTACAGACTTGAAATGATATGAATAGTGATGGGACAGCACTTTGGGACATATTGCGTTCCTGTTACGATGCCAAATCAGAAACATTACGTACAGTTGTGGGTTTGGGACTTCCTTCATGGCCAGGGCAATTAAGAGTATGGTTCCAGACTTAAGAGATAGGATCTTGTCTTACAAAATGGAAAGAAGGGAAAATGTCAAATAATCAATTATCTCAATCGTATCAACACGGCATTATTGAGCAAACAATTGTATGTATTGAACAGAAGTATAAGCTTGCATTCTTCAAATTCCATGGGTTTTACAATCTATTAATAATGTTATGTTTCTTTGTACATTTAGCTTAGCACTGATAGTCCTCCAGTTTATTGCCTTTCAGTCTGTGTTTTACGTCACAATGCTAGGAATTGTTAGTAATTCCCTCAGGCAAATAATGCAGAAATAGGGTATTAGGGAAAGTATGCTTGAATGGCTCAAAATGTCTGCGAGAGAGCCCTCATGCTATTGATGATCTGACAGTATGTCAGCCCGTAGCCCTCGTAGTCTCAAAGTCTATACCTCGAGTGTGGTACAGTATAGCATTGATGTTGGGCCAAAGAGCAAAAAGAAACTATGATTTCGATTTGGTAGAAAAACCTGTTCACATGCTGTCATTTAACCCGTTGTTTATATAACGTATAGATCTGGATAGCTTGTATGCTGATTGTATACAAACTGTAAAAACACTAAACTATAAGGGTAAGTACGATATACTAAATTGGGACACAGCAGGGTGGAAGTTAGGCGATAGACTTGAACCGCACTGCTCTTGTTCAGCTATAACATGCTACAGCAGCAGTGTGAAAAATGTTACCTTTGTGAATGTTACCATTTCAGTGTATTATTTAAAAAATACAAGCTGGGGGCTTTTGTGATGATTTTACAGCAAAGTAAGGTGTATAACTCCTTTAATCTTAGTTATTGTACATCCTGATCAGTAGGCAGCTCCAGCCTGACCAGCTGGTTGATTATTGGGTGCACTCAGAGGCCCTCAAACAGGTTTAGGAATGCAAGTAGAAAAGATCTTATGAGCTCTGTGTAATTGTATACTGCTGTTACTCTGAGCAGGATTAGAGGAAATGCAGTCTTACAAACAGTAATTAAAAAAACTCCGGGCATTAAACAAAGGCGTCTACCTGTTATCATATAATATAAGTAAGTACGAATAAATAATGCTAAATTATGTTTCATTGTGTATTTTCATGATTCTTTTTGGTTCTCCTGTTGCTGCTTTTTCTGTAGAGTACACAAGCAAACATGCACACAGACAGACAGACCGAGTCACAACATGCCTTTCCTCAACTTCAGGAGGAGTTCCTAGAAACAAATGCATGTCTATGTTTAAAATATTGTGTACCGTATATTACCATATGCTTGAAACCTCATATCAAGCCTGCAGCAAGTGACTGGCATGTTTAGACAGGAGGTAACATTTACGCCATTGTTAAAAGTATGGCTGGGTACAGTATGGACTCGTGTGCGTGTCAGGTGTCAAACACACACACACAAAGGTGTGGAAAGAATATGAAATGTATTTTAAAGTACAATATAACAATAATAGACAGGATGAAAAAAAACACATGTGCAAGGAGAGTCAAGAGTGAAAGCAAAATAACTTTACAGTGTAAATGAACAGATTTGTTGCCATCAGTGACGTGCACAAGCACACAGGAACACACATGTAGACACTCACATACTCAGGTTGAGGGATTTCAGTGTGTTGAATACAGTAAATGACTCATGGCTGACAGACTGTCTCAACAGCAGAGATTTCCTGTTTGAAGTTTTAGACAAAAGTGCGTTTTGAAGTTAATCATTGATCTGTACTTCCCCTCACTAAAAAGGCACATCTACCGTTTAGAGTTTTCGGCTGAAACTGTATACATTTCCCTTTCTATACAGACAAATCAACATTTATGCAAAGGTAAAAAAAACAGGATGTGAAATGGATTGGATTTATTTTGTTACTATTCCTTTGCACCACTGTACTTAAAGTTTAAAATGGAAACATAACCGGTGGAAGAACAAAAATACGAAGCAGAAATGTCAAATTAGTTGACCTCTGAATATGATCACCACTATCCAAGAGCTAACACCATTTAGCTTATTTAATCTTCAACTTATATAACAGAAAACACTTTGTCATGAAGTTTATTTCTTCACCCGTCCCTTCATCTCACTTTCTTGTCACATTTCTCTTATATTTCTTTGGAAACATTTCGTCTTTGTGTGATCAACAACATGTTATAGGATCTTTGTTCGAGCTTGTTTTATATTAATAATGACATTCTTTGGCCATGTTAGCCTTGTTGCATCCCACACAGGAGAATTAAAGACACAAGTGCAGAAACTCACAGACATTCAAATATAATAACATACATTCGAGTACAGGTGCAAATGTAACTGTTTTGTTTTTACAGTAGAAACCGAGCGGGACAGTGCTTACTCTGGGGATTGTTGTTTAAATCACATGCTCATTTATATTTGTTACAGAGTTGGAAGTGTGCTTTTTGGGGTAGTACTCAAAATACAGGCGCCATCCTTTATTTATCTTTAAGCTCATACCCATTTTTGTTCTTGTTCCATTCTTCTCTCCATTTAGGTAAAATGACCTCTGTATATTTTATTTCTATTAAAACATTTTGAATCCTTGAACAGGATAAAGGTCAAAGTAGGGAGCCATTTTAACGTCTCACCAACCTTCACTTTCTGGGCCCTTCACAAACTGCTCCTCCTCCTCCAGTCCACATTATCATTTGGAACATATTCTGATGTAGTTATGAACCCTCTGGAAGAACCAAAGGGTGGGGAGGGGAGTCCACAGTCCTGTTCACGCCCCCCTCTCTCTCTTCCACCTTTTCTGTAGCCGTGACTGTGTCTCTTTCAGAGGGCGGGGGGAGTGTTTGTCCATCGGGGGTGGAGTGCATGCCCAGGCTGGTGAGGATGTCCTGGAGGAGTTGGACGGTGCTCACTAGCTGCTTCTTCTCTTCTTCCAGTGCAGAGACGTGCTCCGTCAGCAGGACCTCTGACTGGGACAGAGCCTCCACCCGACCCTGCATGCTGCAGACACGAGCCTGGGACACCTGAGGGATGGTGGAAATGAACGGAGGAAAAGACAATAACATTCATAAACTTTATATATTAAGCACATTTTGAGAGCAGCTGTTCTCTACAAGGCCTAAATCATGATTTAGGCCTTGTATCTTAAAGGGGACCTATCATGCAAAATGCACTTTTATACGTCTTTTATACATGAATATGTGTCCCCGGTGTGTCAGGGAACTCACCAAGTGTCAGAAAACACAACCCTCTCTCTTTTCCTCCATACCCAAATCTCTAAAAACGGGGCTGCAACAGAGCTGATACAGATTTGAATTTTTCTGACGTCAGAAAAGGGGTGCTCCGCCTATATGGGCAACTCTCCACCTATCAGGGGAATGGGGGGTTGGGCCACGGCCATTGCCGCTCAAAAGCGCTGGAGACGCTGTAGTACATATGCCAGGCCTGTAAGTGGCGCTGTAGTCTGCCACAAAAGCAGCGAAGAAGACTTCTTACAGAATCAGCCCTTGCAAAAACAGGGCTGGAAAAGAGCAAATAGAGCGAAATGAGGCATGGCTAAAATGCATGATCTGTTTGGTATTTTGAAAAAAAAACTTCACAGACATGTTTTATATAGGTATGGCCCTACAATATATTATTCAAATATAGCATGATAGGTCCACTTTAAATCATGATTAAGAACACAAAACATAAAAATGGAGGACAATCAATGGAAAAAGACATTGGAAGTGTCTTGCACCGAGCAAAAGGAGTTGGAGGTTGTTGCAGAGAGCGGGGAACTGAAAGATAAGGAGATTGAAGACAGAGATTCTCTAATGGCCCCCAGAGGCTTGCTCCAAAAGCGAATATTTGTCATTAAAGGTAGGGTAGGTAAGTTTGAGAAACCGGCTCGAGATACACTTTCAGGCTAAAATAACTGGATGGCCTACCTGCCTGTCAGCCTTCCATCTGTGCACAAACTTATCTCGTGCCCTCATTGGTCATGTGCGCGTTCGTGTGTGTTGGAGGAGGGGCTCTATAAGGAAGTGGCAGATTTTCTCCGGTTGTGTATTTTCAAATTCTAGCGATCTCGAGCCGGTTTCTCAAACGTACCTACCCCACCTTTAGTGGACCAACCAAGTTAAAATGTCCAACATTATATCAGAAATAAACATCTTTAGAGCCTTGTACAAAAAGTGTCTTCATTCATGACACAGTAAATAATATTGAGGTTTAAATTAAGGACGAAGCAAATTTGAGTGACAGGTGAGTAGCATCACAGGTTGCTAGCCGCTAGCTGCTCTTCAGCTCTGGTCTGCCTCATCTCTAACGATGGTCAAAATCTTTGCACATATTTGCATTAGACGGTAGTAGGGTAGAGTCAGCCCTGCCAAGATGGCATTGGCCGGAGCCACACACATTGAGATTCACAACGGCTCTTTACAAAACATATGGGTGATGTCAGAGAAGCAGCCTCCATGTTAAACTGTCAATAGTCCTCATCCAAGATTGCAGTATGGCAGAGCCTTGTATGAGGACCTTACGGGTCCAAACATTCTGAGAATGTGCGTATGTACCTGCAGCTCCTCGCGCAGGTCGAGGTTCTGCTGTCGGAGGCTCTGATTGGTCCTCTCCAGCTGTGCTGTTCTCTGGTGTTGGTTGAGGGATGGAGGCGTGTCAAGCAGCTCATCTTGCAAGACATGGTACTCCACCTCGTAGGCCTGCAGCTGCTTGGACACATCCATCTGACAAACCTAATAAAAGTAAAAAACACATAAAGTGTTTACAATGTGTAGCAGCAATCTATAAACCCTGACATTTGACCTCATTGAATGAACATTAAACCGTTAATGTAGTCTTTGTCAGGGGTTTGGCTTGGTGTGCACCATCTTTTTATACTCTGGACTCAAGATTTTACATTTTTCCTTCTTCTATTTTTTCAAAATAAATAAATGTCAACATGAGCACTCCAGAAATGTTGCAAAACCACAGATAGGTAGTAATAATAAGGTATCAGGATATGCATTTCCTTTGGGTTTTCTTCCAAATAACACTAGGTTTTTGTACAACTTAATCGTCTGACTATTTCTGTTTCTTTCCTCCTCAGACTTCCCATTAGCAATGTCACAATGCTCTTAGATTTCTGCACTCTAACTTGCTAAGTACAATGTTATCATATCTGTTAGTAATAGTGGCCAAACCATAAAACTATCCCTTGTTTCCTTTATTATGTTACAAATAACACAGATTGTTGTTGACTGCACCTACAAATTCCATATGACTACATAAGAGAAAATAAACCACAGAGACATGTTTAACATACGTGGCTCCAAACATCCTGTAGGTCGCTCTCTGAGTCACACCCCAGGTAACATATATAGACATCCTGACATGGATAAGTGGTACTTGAGGGAAAGTACCCTCAAGCTAGAGCATGACTTAACGCCCTTTTGCTATTTCATGCAAATGACATGTTAAATGCAAATTTTCGAAACTAGAGAGTACCATGATAACACCTCTCTGCATGTCTTTGACTCATCACACACTCATGTCAGCCCTTCCCATCTCAGGTGACAGCTTATTATACTGTAGTTGAGGAAATTGCTCCATCTTGACACCAGTTTACACGAGAGTGACACATAACAAAGTACAACAAGTTAGTCTGATCATGACTGTTTTTTTAAAATTGTTAAACACATGTTCCTTATGTTGAAATATGCTAGTTTCATGTTCTTTCACCACAAACACTGACTCATGAGGATATGGTTAAATCGCTTGACCAAACTCCACCCATCAGCTGTTTGAAGGAGAGGGTGTGGTTCACTTTGATAACATATGTCACTCAAGATGAATATAGTTTGAATGTTGTTGTTGCTCATAAAGCAATTATACTGCCGCTTTATCTGCCATGAGTTGTATAAAAGGTCTTATAATGAAACACATCTGTTAAGAGAAGTGAGGAAAGTTTAGTGATGTCACTTATTCACACGCAGACATATGACAAGCTGAAAAGTCACTGATCCAATAGTTATGTAACCTATGCAAATACATTGTATACATTTATTTTTCAATGTATGTCGATATGTATACAGCTCAGAAAAAAAATCAAGAGACCACTGCCAAAATGATCAGTTTCTCTAGTTTTACTATTTATGGGTATGTGTAAAATGAACATTTTTTATTTTATTCTATAAACTACTGAGAACATTTCTCTGTGTTGGAATTCAACAGAACTGGAATAGAATGGCTTCCATACATGCAGCGATTGAGATTTAAGAAACATTTGGAGTGTCTCTTACATTTTTCCAGAGCTGTATATATGTTTCAAACTAGCCTGCACATTCATTTGATATTTAAGGCATTTGTTTCTACATTTAATTCTTTACTATGCTTCATATTTTTCAGGGTTTCATCCATCCAATTCTATTCTATTCTATATTTATTGAGTCACTGTTCAATTCATAAATTGAAGGGACTATCCTTATAATCTTTGGTCGAAAATAGTCCTTAACAAATCAACCATTTACTTCAGTTAGAGTAAAATGTGTTTAAAACTGCAGTACACAATGAAAATAAATAAGACCAGGTCCATAAAAACGTAGTATTTGATTCCAGAGAGGCAGTCTAATGATAAAAGGAAGAGCTACACATTACTGATGGTTTCTAATCCTAACCTGGTTGATGGTCTTCTCCATCTGCACCAGGCCCAGGTTGGGCAGCGTGGTCTTGATGAAGTCCACGATGGACTCCAGGCTCTCGTGTTGCAAGATCAGAGGCTTGTGGCTTCCCAGCAAGCTCATGGCCACCTTGAAGATGACCTCTGACCCCTGCAGGAACAACATATCTGACAGGAGGACAAAGAGGCGCCGAAAGGTTATTGAAGAAAGAGAAATAACCGGTTAGAAGGGCCCTGACGTGAGAGCTGTTAGCAAAAATTAAGCAACATTAAAATAAATAATGACAGGCTCTCACAGATCAACCTACTGTGTTGAATGGTGACTTAAAGTGTTTTTTAAGTGATGAATGCTTTGACGTCAATAAAAAGATTTATGCAAACATAAATATAGTTGGGAGACTGAGTAGGTGTGTGTATTTGTGTTCGTCCTTTGAATGTATCAGGGTGGGGTAAGGGTTAGGCAAGATTGCATGAGATCATTCAACAGATTAAGGAATGGGCGCGGAGTTGTAGAGCCCCACATGCTGTATGATATCAAAGACTTCACTTTGCTATGATGATGCCCCCACACACATACACACATATACTCACACACACACACGCACACACACACAGCGTTATGCTCAGATGAGTACGAGGAGCCAGAGAGTCTGGTTCACTAACTGAGCACCATGTAAGAAATTAGGCATGAAAACAACAGAAGGGAAGGACACAGAGGGGCTGTGGGTATGATGGTATTTACACAAACGATAAAAGGTCATTTCGGGAGTAAAACAACAGCTTGTAACAGAAAACACTTAATCTTAAATGTGTCTGTGTGTACGTGACTCACTGACTTTGTTCATAATAATCAACGGCATAAAATGTTGGTTTATAATATACAATTCAAAAATGCCACTCCCCTCAAATTTGCCCCATTGAAAAACGTTTTGGATAACTTATCTATGTATTAAGTACTTATCTAAGTACTATATTGCTTTCTACACCTTTTATATCCTTCTGTTTTTAACCCGCCTCCCTGTTTTGATCAAATTAGGTTTAAAATCAAATTAGAATAGTTGATTGGAGATAAACAGTATGGTGACCAGGTAAAATAAGAGTGTGAAGTATGAGTGCAGGTACAAACACAAAGCTTACCAAAGACTCTGGCCACAAAGCCAAGGGGGAAGTGCGAGGCGAAGGCGGTGAGGAACCAGGGGGTGGCGTACAGGCTGGGTCCGATCTCCTGCTGCTCCAAGTGGCTGTAGAGATCCCGGTGGTAGTCGTGAAGCAGCCGCGACAACTGGTACATCTGAATCTGATGTGAAAAACAAACCAAAGATTGTTTTTCTTAGTCTGACTGAAAGCGTTAGGTTGATTGTACATTATGTGCACATTGATGTGTGTACTAAAAAGCAAAATTATACACAGAAAAAGATACAAATGTATTTTTAACAGCTTAGTTAGGGAGGAAAAATATGCCATTTGGTTCGGAATCAGCAAATACTCAAGAAAGTGGTTTTAATATTGGTCATACAAATATGTACTGAGCTATCCCTTTTTGTAAACACAATAACTGTCTAATATATCATTCATGACTGGTATAACCTGATCATGTATGTCTAACATTGCAGCAGTTCTATCAAAGGGCTGAAATCTGATGCTAAATCATCATTCAAAACCTACAGTATAAGTTTCTCTGGCATGACTCCAGTTAACAGCTTGCATCAAATCTCAACCAAACTAATGGTGTCACATTGTTAAGACATGTAATCTGATCGCAATAAATGTAAAAACAATGGGAAAAGGAGGGGTGAGATGCATCACATTTCATTTATATATATATATTGTGAGGTGAATAGACTGATGGATAAATGGACATATACTGTAAGAAGAAAGCGACCAGCAGTCCTCTCTTTGATGTAATTCAAGTATGCGAGTAACTGTGAGAAGATTCTCAAAATGTGAGCTACTGTATATTCTGTATTTGGGACAAAAAGACTCAGTGTGAGAGTGTGTGACTTTTACCTGTAGGATTATCATGTCAGGCCTGTATTGTTTGCGGAGCCCCACGTCATACATGAGAAACTTAAGCATGTAGAAGGCGTCCTCTTCCCCCAAGTGTAGCAGCAGCACCCCCGCAATGAAGGACAGGCCCTGGCAGTAACCCACCTACAATCACAACAAAAATAAACTGGATGACCTCACAGACAAGGAGAGGGAAAAAGGCTTAAGCGTAAAATGTAGTTGAGAGTTCCATTTAGTCCATCATCGAGAGGTGGAGAGACACACACATAAACAAAGTGGAAGAAAAATAGCTATAAGAATAATTCAATTATACCTCAGGGTCCAGCAGCGAGTAGGCTTTCAGTAAATTATACAGAGACAGCTGTCCTGCTCCCAGCTGGGCTTGGAAATAAGGATGTGTGGGAAAAGTGCGACCTGGGACAAAAACAAAAGAAGAGTGAGAAATGATCTAGTTTGGAAAATAATCTACACTGTTTATATTTATTATAAAATGCTACGCCAGACATCGTCTCTATTTGATCAACCTAATACATTTGGTTTATTGGATTGTGTCTGACATACCTCTGTGAAAAATCCCAAGTGAACTATAAATAAGACCTCTGGGTGTGTATGTGTGTTTGACAGATGCATACAAATCCTGCTAAACTTCGCACTTTCCTGTTGATGTAAACAAAGGGGATGCATGAGCATGTGCCGACCCATTCCAATAGGTTATGCTCACACACGTTCATGTAGACAAACACCTTTAAGCGGAGACCTCGTACTCTATGTGGCGGTGGATGGGCAAATGCCGGACGAAATAATGACCCGGGATCAGAAAAAGGACATTCTTAACGTGGAGGGGCCGGTAATTTGTCAGGTACGGTATGTGTGTTTAAGGACTGAGGACTTCTCACAGTGTGTGATAGTGAGGCTTTATAGAAGAGAATAATGATCTGAATGAGTGTGAATGCGTGGAATGTGCTGTGGGGGGTTTGTGTGTTTGTGAACATAATGCCACGGGTCCCTCCCCTGCCTGAAGGAACGAGGTTTTGTGAAAAGGCTGTTGTGATGAACAAGCCTAAATTCTTATTCCTCTTGGCTATAGATGTTAACCTATGACTATAACGACACATTTGCATTCTCAACCTGCAAACCTCTCTGCTGCTCCAGTATCATAAACACTGTTTGCTTTTGTCCCTCGACACATAACACCTTCATGTTTTCCACATTAGCAAACTGTCACTGTCACATTCGTCCACACCCTAGTTGATGTAGACTGAATAAAATGGTTGATGTGTATCTGTATGTATGTGGGTGTTACATGGGTGGGGTGTAGGCACTGTGTGTGTGTTTTGGGTGGGAGGTGTTGGGTGGATTTGAGGGTAAAACGTTGGAAGGAGGTTTTTAGACATTTTAAATAACATTCGCAGTGTTTCTGCAGTTCACCAGAGGTTACCACATTTACTTTGAGACTTTCTAAGACCTTTTTGAATATCACAAGAGAGTCAGAGACTGAGAAAAGAAAATTCTTGACATGTAGTTTTCATATTTGTTTGTGCTTTTCAGGCGTATTTAACAATAATTATTAGTGATGGACGCAAACGAAAAATTAAAGGAGGGATCAATTGATAAAAAAGTTATTTGGTTAATGTACATTTTTGGTCAAATCTTGTACATGTAACAGCTTCACAGTTACTATTTCTGTCATACAAGTAAACATATTAAACCCAATTTGAAATTAAATGTAAGACTTTTAAAGACCTTTAAGGCTTTCTGTTGAGGTAACTTTGTTCTGTGCTTTAAGACTTTTCGAGACGAGTAGATACCCAGTCTGCAAAATGTAGGAGTTATTATTTGTGTGCTTTGTTAAGGGTGGCCGCTATATTTAATATACTCAATGTACTGCAGCTTTTTCTAAGTGGGAAATAGTAAATGACTATATGCAAAATATTAATTGTCACGTCTAAACATCAACATGTTGTTTATGAGACTTATCACTAAGCCCTCCGTTGGGTAAAGACTAAAATGTACATCCAACTGTGTTTTACTGATCATTCCATATAGTAAAAATGCATCAAAATACAGCAACACAAAATGTGTGTGAAAATGAGTATTTTCTACGTGTGTCTGAGCTACCCAGGTCTATGAGGATGGCGTGTTGCTGTGTGGTGAGCTGTTTCAGCAGATCTTTGTATGGCGTGTGATTGGCAGGTGGTCGGGACGGGACCGTCTGCCTGAGTAGGTATTGTTCGGACAGAAACTTCCAAATCTCGCCTCGATGTTGCCTGGGGACACCTGTCAAAAAATAACAAGAGATTAAGGAGTTAAAGAGTGGGGTAGGGCAGAGGGGGATGACATGTCAGAATGCGTTTACAGTAGACATATTTCTAACAGTAGTATACAAATCTAAAGGACATCTGACGTCGGGTTGTGAGAATGTGTCAAACTTCAGGGGCCTGAGGAGACTCAAAAGAGCCTTACCTTCCTGTAAACATACCATAGTAATTATTGTGACAGAGATTTACTTTCGGGCTAATTTTACATCATTACTAGCTACTTTAGTGGCTACTTCAGTTCTAAGACTACTATTTATTGTCCAGTGGCATTTCTCAGTGTGCAGGTGTGTTCTGAACTTGATATCCCCCTGTTACGTTTAAGGCAGAAGAGATAACCTTCAAGTCCTCTGAGCATAACATGCTGATACTAGAAAATAGACAGAGCAGAAAGCGATGACAATGTCTGAAAGACACTGAAGGTCATTCCTTTTGATGTATATTGAAAAAGGGCCCAAGCAGATTATAAGGACGAAAATGTAAATGTCCTCTGTCAATTTTGAGCTTTATACATCAAGCTTTGGTCAATCTGTTGAGATTAAAAAAAAAAACATTTGATATACAGTATGTATTTAATCCAAATACGTACCTTGTGCAACAGCAGCATGTATGGTGTCTGAGTCAAATTTGACCTTTGCCCTCCCAGGAGTTCCTAGCATCTTTTCCCACACCAGCGTGACGTCCTTCAGGCACGGAGTGATTTCCTCATAGTCCAGCTTCAGACGCTTGTTCTGCAGATCGCTCTCTGTGGCTACGAATATAAAAGCAAAGACAGAATACGTCAGTAAAGTAACCATCCCAGAATCCTTGGCGTTGGTCCTGTGGTGTGTGTATTTGGAGCTGAGGTGCTGAACATGTTGCTGAACAGATGCCAGTGTGTGTCTCTCTTCACATAGCACCAAACCCCGCACATTTAATGTTATCTCATTACATGTTACTTGTCTTTGGTTTAGGTTTTGCACTAATTTACTTTCATAAATAACTGACAGGCCCTCTTTGTTAAGGCAAACATTACATGCCTGTTATTACATGACATCCGTGTAAAGGAGACTTGGACTTTAAAGCTCAACTGAATAACCTTGTTCGCTAAGATCAGAAGAAGAAATTAATTACATTTCTTTTAAATAAATCCCCAACTTTGAAGATGATATTAAACAAGCAGGCCAGGACAAATACACTGTATGAGTAAAGTTGTGATTATGTAGTGGCTACATTTGTTCATCAGAAAAGAGGCTCACCAGTGCTTATTCATGATATTAATCAGAATTGAGTAAAGCACCATGTTTAAGGTTTCAGTTGATTATTCAAACTTGCAATTACTGTTATTTTCTTCTTACACTTTTGGTCTGCAGAAACCAGTTGCGAACACAACATGGATATATCTTTTTTTAAGTTGATGTATCAAACAGTGGCCTGTCCACACATCCAGCCGCTACAGTGCAACATTATCAGTCATTTGGAGTCGTGTTCCTGGCCACCTGGTGAATATAAGTCCAATATTAAACTTAACTCCACTAACTCCTGAGGGAAATATCTGGCTCTATCGCTGCTAAATATTTTAACAATGTGTTCACCAGAGGTTAACACGCCTGTATTTGTTAATCAGATCACATTCTAATGTGGGGGGTGTTACCATGTTGTATACAGTATGACCCACAGAGAGTAAACTGAGCAATACCAAAGATACTTTGGACATTACTATTAAAAAATCATCCTGCTCTGTTGTAATAAGATATTCTTTTGCTTAGCTCAATACATTTCATGACCCTCAGGTTACCACGGGTTGTAAACTGAACAAAAAAACACAAACTGTGAATTCCGTTGCAACATGTTGACACCAGTGATCAAAGAAGGTGAGGGCACACCCAGCGCCCCTCGCCTGTTCCTCTCTTTTCTGACAACACCCTTCCTCTCTTTCCTCGCTTATATCTTAAACCATGGCCTTTCTTTTTCTCTTTTCTGCCTCCATTTACAGTCAATCTTTCTTCTTATTCAATCCCACATTTTTGTTGTCCGTGAACTATTTTCCCATTTCCTCCTCCCTCCCCTTATGGACTTCCCCTCCCTCCCCTCTCATGTGTGGTGTCCACCCAGTGACCAGCTGCACCTTGGTAGAGCCTGAGAAAAAGTGACATCATCATTACGGGACAGGAAAGTCCTTTTCCTGTTACATCCTGCGATGACACTTTTCAGGAAACAGAGGCAAACTAAGGTGTTTTCCAACATGTGGAATGCATGTATTTGCATCCAGGCGTGTCGACCCCTGTTATCAAGTGGTTTCTGTTTACCACAATTTAAATTCTTAGGATAAGACAATCTATTCCTGTCTGCTGTGCGCTAAAAAAGGAGGTGTGGAAATTGATGTCATGAAAGCAATGTTGTCGGTGTTTGAGACAATGGAGTTTTTGTATTCAAAAAGGTACTATGTACTGAATGCAATAATGTTTTGAAAACTACAAAAAAAATTTTTTCAATTATGTGACTTCAAATATAATAAGATCAATAATATATATATATAAAGAAAATAACAATTAAAAACGATTTCAACTCACACATGAATGCTTGACACTACGTTGGCTTAGTGTGTATGGTTACTGTACACCAGTAACACTGACAATATGTTATTTTGTAGAAAAATAAATAAATAAATGTTTGAAGTTGTGATTTGATTTTAATCTATGAAGGTAGATAAGAAAATGGATTCTTACACAAAAATACTATTTCCTCCAACCCTACTTGTATCAGCAACATTTTAGCAAAAAGTAGTTCACACTAAAATCCAGGCAAACAACTTGATACAAGACAAATCGAGAAAATCTAAAGTGATCTAAAACTTGAATGTGGTGCTGCATATCATTGCTTTAGAAATGAAAGAAGTAGCGAGAGTAACCTGGAAGGCGTAGTCTGGATAATAAAAGAAAGAAAACTTGGATGGAGCAGATATCTGACACACCCAGAGCAAGAATAGATGCTCCCGTCTGTCTTATCAGCTGATTGGCTGCAGCCCAGAGAGCGCTCAATTTCTCTAAATTCTCCTCCTGCTCTCCATTTCCCTCCCATTCTGTCGCTGGAACACTCCACCCAAGATAATACACACCACAAGATAGGATACCCCACCCTGAAGCTGACAAAGACAATGATGGAGGCGTGCACACTCACACACACACTTTCAGCAGTTTGAGAGATAAACAGAAATAACAGATAGGGAGTTGAGCCCCACCCAGACAAATAACGGATAGAAAGGTGGAGTACACCCTGCAGGAAGAATAAAACACAAATGATAGACGCTCAAGAAAAGCCACCACATGCTGCTAATGCGTGTGGTAGTGTTTAATGTTAGTTCAGCGAGTGTGTGTGTGTGTGTGTGAAGTTATTGCCCGGACTTGTTTTTTTTCTTTCATCAATATTGACTGACATTCTCTCCATCCACACCCTGTTATGAAGCAATGATTTCTGTGATCCGTGTGATGGATGAAGTGTGTGTGTGTTTGTGTGTGTGTGTTTGTGTGTGTGTGTGTGTGTGAACTAATGGTAGGTATACGGTGCAGGTAGTTAGGGGGGTAGTGCACAGTGAGGTGTGTGTTGATCCGTGCCAACTGGGTCAGGAAAGAGGTGGAGCACTTGGCAAACCCTTACGAACGCCTCCAAGTTAAAAACACACGCACACCTATAAATTATATAACCTTGTTAAATATGCGATGGGTCCTAACATTAAGAAACAACCAGCAGTGCACTTGACAAGCCGATCTCTTTGAGTGCACATCTGGAGAGGCAAGTTGCCAAAGATGGATTAAAGAAACCAACTCGTAATGTAATTCAACATCATTAACTAATGAATAATGCGATCATTACTAGCTGCTGGTCTTGTCATCATGCAGACAGACAACAGATCAAATCCTACTTTGCAGAACCAGGCAGCAATAATACGTATTCTGACTCGATAACAAGGTAGTGGCTTAGATAAAGAATAAATATGAAGGGACTTTGTTTTATGTGCATTTGCATTTAAAAAATCTAGCTTCCAGGATTCCCTTCAAAGGCCTGGCAGATATCCAAGTATTTGATTCATTTTGAGAGGAGACATTGGCATGTACCTTGGATTTATCACTTTTACAGAAACATTCTACACTGTGATGTTGGTGATTATAAGATCAATAAGAATGATACGGCTAATAAGTGGATCTTATTTTCACTTGTCTGTAAAGTGTATATTTGAAGATTTGAGCACAGTTTTGTTTATGGACATGTTTATAAGAACAAGAAAAGGCTATGTAGGCGTGTGCATTTGTCTGTGTTTTGATCCACTTCCTCTCACCCTGCAGCTTCTGGTTCTCCCTCTCCATCCTCTGGAGCAGGATCTGCTGCAGGATGGCCTTCCTCCAGAGCTCCCTCAGGTCCTCTTTGCTCTTTTTTGTCCTCTCCTCAGGCACCAGCCTCATGGACAAGTCCCCATTTCCTCCATCTCCCTGTCCCATGCACACTCGACCCCCCTCTAGGCAGGATTCTCCCAGCTCTGAAAAACAAAGTAGAATATAATGTCAGGTCAGGGGTGATCACGCTGCATGACGTGTCCAATGCAGTAGCAGGACACAGAAAAGATAACACAGAGATAACCTGTACAGAAACAATTCTTCCCCAAACTCAATAGTAAGCATCCTCAAATATTTAAAAAAGAAAATCTCAAAATATTACTCTGGGAAAATAAAGAAAGCTGCATTCTTGCAGGACAGTTTGTCCCTGCCTGCCTCAGTATGAGGGAATCGGACTGACCTGCTACACCAGGTCTCACATCTCACGTCTTTTTGAATTTTTTATTAATGTATTATATGACTTGAATGAATTTTTCCTTCCTTGTAAAAAAAAAAAAAAATGTCAGAGTTTGTTTCAAATACAGTATGTATTTGTGTATGGATGTTGCAACTATACAGAGCTTTAGCAATACTGTATATAATTATGGTCATGCTAATAAAGCTATTGAATTTAAATTGAATTGAGAACACTAAAACCCATATAACAGTCCTATATTATCAAATATAAGAAGTTCTAATTATAATATTTATAAGCAGGTGGTGTGAAACAGCAATGTGCTGGGAGATTGGACATTTCTAGCCTGAATTTACCTTTTTATCTGGGGGAGACTCTTTTTTTTTTTACTTCAACAATCAACCCTTATCCCTCAGTCATTTCAATATGCAGCCATTCATCCGATGCTCATGCAAAATAGAATAAGAAAGGCTAAACATAGATCTATTCGACACAGTTGGTTGCAACGCATTCAGTAAAAAAAACTAATGTTTGTGTGACTCCACCCCAAAGTACAGGGTGGATCCCAAACCTCAAAATACCGTGTGTTGTTTTTGAGGAAGAACATAACAACTATCCAGATAGCACTTCTCTTTCAGTTCACAGGAACATCACGGTTCAGCTTGCTCATGCTCAAACACCTAAGCCTGGCGTAGGTATGTCAATTTGATGCTTATCTTCCAAAAAGGTATTCAGAGGAAAACTAAAAATGTGCCAGAAAGGTTGTCTCTTCAAGCATCAGAAACAAAGACAACTACTGTACCGACATCTACAATACACACACGATGGCAATACTGATCTTTGTGCCAGGTGAGGGTAACATTAATGCAGCCTTTGTGTCTGTGTCAGGGAGGCGTGCAGTCACTATACAAACATATGGCTCTTTGGTTTTAAGAGATGGGGAAGAATAACCAAACATATGACACAGACAGACAGCGGCTTTCTTAAGAGACATGACTATTTGTTAGACAAACACAGACTTCTACACTGTGTCAACATCTACATTTTCGATGTATGCATGCACACACATATACTTATCCTGCTTATGTATAGCCAGTACCTCAGTTCCTTACCTTAACCACAGGAGCTAATCGTTCTGTATACTAATCTTAACACTAAACCATGTCTTAAAACCAAAAATACCACACACGCGCCACACACACGCACTCTAACACACCGTGTCACGATCCACTCCCTGAGCAAACACTCCAATTTCACCAAAACCAAGAGCGCACACATACACAACATGCAAAGTGGGTCAACAAGGCTGGCGACTTCCTCTGGCGCTGCCTGTGTGTGGACTGTCACACACACACACACACACACACACACACACACACACACACACACACACACACACACACACACACACACACACACACACACACACACACACACACACACACACACACACACACACACACACACACACACACACACACACCACACACACACACACACACACACACACACACACACACACACACACACACACACACACACACACACACACCACACACACACACACCACACACACACACACACATCACACACACACACACACACACACACACACACACACACACACACACACACACACACACACACACACACCACACACACACACACACACACACACACACGTCCGAGTCGCTGTTTACCTGTTTCGTTTGAAAGGGAAACTTGCGTGCACAATGACTGGCCTAAACCTCGCTAATCCCTTCTGAGTTCATTGAGAATGTGGATAAAAGGTCACATAAGTGCCACATTCCTGGTGCTCTTATTATATTAGACCCAATCACAGAATATTGAGCCGTGTGTACAGAAGTGAATATATACAATATTGAAATAATACTATCTTTGTTGAAATGGAGGTGTTAATTAAACTGTATAGAGTTGTTTGTGGTTGGTGTGCGTCGAGTAGAGCATTTTAGACTTTGGCACCGCCAAGTGGTAGAATCACTCATTTGGGATTTAGCAATCCAGTTTCTGGATTTGAGTGATAATTGTTTGTATTTACTAATATTTTAGATTGTCTTAAAAAAATAGGAATAACATGTATATAAAAGAGGCATTAAAGTGTCTGTCTGAATTGAAACAGATATATTAGGTAATGTAGTGGTGGTCTAATGGCTAGCGAGGTGGGCTAAAGATCGGAAGGTTGTGAGTTCAAATCCCGCCTGGAACACCACCACTAGTGTGCCCTTGAGTAAGGCACTTAGCCCTTAGTTACTCCAGGGAGAATGTCCCTGTAATCGGTAATTGTAAGTCGCTTTGGATAAAAGCGTCAGCTAAATGAAATGTAATGTGTCAATAGGGGCAAAGTTTAAGACAATAATGATAGTGGTCACCTCTAAATGCTTATCAACAATACTATGACACTAACTTATAAAAAGTATCAATATAATAATGATACAGTCTTCATAACTGTGGTATTGATTGCAACATTATAAATTGCTTCATTATCTAAATTCATTAATGAAAATGACTCGATTTATTTTGCCATTACGCTCTAGGAGGTTTGTTTGACTGTGTTTGATACCAACCCAACTATCGCAACTGTCAACACTTATTTGGTTCACACGCAAAAACGATGATACATATAATTATCAAAAGACACGAGCTGAAGACACGCAAGCACATGCATGATCAGATTCTTACAAACACGCAAGTTTTATAGACATATACTGAAAACAAAAATCAAAAAAGGGAAGAGCAGTATTTCCAACCTCCACGCCTCTAGAATATTTGACAGGGCTGTAAATCTCCATTCAGACATAGTCTGGTACTTACTGTATACTGGCCCAAGGCTTTAAGACTGAAATTAATTGAATTTCAGACCAGCCAACAGTGTCAAACATTAACCCTATATAAGGAGATATGACTGATAACAGTCAGAGCAATGTGGGCTCTGAAAATGAAATCTTTCACAGCTCCAAAACAAGCACTTTATGCCACAGCAGCATTTGTGCATGTCAATCAATCACAGTCTGATAACAATAGAGAAATATGAGCCACTGGTCATTTAAGTATCATATTAAGACACTGAGAGAGAGACCTATGAACATTCTTGACTATTTTCTTTTTTTTTAACCAGGCAGTCATCTAGTAATCTTCTAGACATTCATTTCTCATTCCCTCCCATTTATTTAGCATACTTTTTCATTGAGAAAGCCTATGTTTAGCATAGACACATATGAATATGTTTACAGCACTTCTAAAGGCCACCGTGCCACAGTTTGGTGGTTCAGCCATAGACTCGATCCTCAGCAGCTTTTCTGTAGGACATAACGTTTTGAAAACTAGAACTATATTGTAAATGACAGCCATCCTAATCAAAAATTCAAGATTCAAAGGTTTATTATCATAACATATACACAACTACGGAGTTATTATGTTATGTATGAAAAACTTAGATCGTAGGTTCAGTGAGTATATCATGTTTTAAATTGAAGTTGTCTGAAGTCCTCACCACCAGCTGCTCTTGCAGTAACAAGTAGTGTACTTTTCTTACTGTCCTAATGTGCACAATGTAGTGACTGCTTTTTCGTCTTTTGTTTTCTTAGTTATGTTCTCTGTATTTTATATGTTTGTGTTATGTGTTATGTGTAACGTTGCTGCCTTCTTGGCCAGGTCAGCATTGAAAATGAGATTTTATCTCAATGTTTTTATCTGGTTAAATAAAGGTTAAATAAAAAAAAATAAAAAAGTATGCTGCATATATTTTAATATATTTTCCCACAGCACAGGAATATAAACCCTTTTTACTTCTGAGGACAGATTTCTCAGGATCACACCAATGATTTTTTTTACATTTGTTAACAGTAATCTAGACTTGGCTTTCAAGAGGAAAGTAAATCATGCTAAAACTGGTGATTAGACTAGTACTGGAAATAAATAATAGTGTATTATGGATTACCTATAAATTCTAATTTGAAAATGCAAGTTTATCCGGGAGAAAAATACCTATAAGTGATTTATTTTATTTCCCTTTCCTTTTCTAGTCACCTATGTACCATCACGTTAAATCTAAGAGTGGCACCAAGTGGAAATACTTTGTCACTGCACCACTGTCTACACATCAGGACCTTGTATGGCTGTTTATTTTTTAAATACACAGGTCACAAGGCACATGTGAGGTGTCTTGCTCATGCTCAGATTTTGGTAGGATGTTAAGTAGCATGTACAATATGGAGCACATGTGTGTTCTTGATCTGTTTTTCCTTAGAAGAAGACATGTTGAAGTTTACAATTGGAGCATGCAAAGAGATCCGCCCATCAAAGCTCTTTGGTGCACACAGACTTGCTTACACTCACCAAATGCATGAAGCAGGCATTTTGTTAGTTTGGGGACAAATTCTATCCGACTCTTTGGTGCCAAAAAAAGTAAAAAGGTCTCTCCATAAAGGTGTATTCAAACGATATTCACAATTGCCTTCTTGGGCAAATTGTGCAGTTATTTGTGGGTACAAAGTCACCAGTTTTAATCCAAGGAAATACTCTTATAGTAAGGATTGATCTTTTCTTTATGACTTACCAAGTAACAAAATAACTGTTCAATACTGCAGTGAACCTCCCTTTTGAAAAGAACAGTAACAGCACATAGGCCATGTGACTCTCAACTCTCTTTAGGACTGATAAATAAGTAAGACAATGACAGTATAGTACTTCAAAGGGAACATTCAAATCTATCTTTGAGCGTGTCCACTCTCACCGTTTGATTCGGTGTTTTTCTGAGGTGTCGCGACCCGGAGGAAGATCTGCTGCCTCCAGGAGTGCCGATGGCCTCGCTGAGGACTTTCCCACATCCCACATGCTTCATTAGGTATAGACAGAGCTGCTACATCTCTGAAACACAAGCAAGCACACACAGGAATAGTTACCCAATATGGCCTGGTAAACATTCAGTAGGGCGTAGTTTAAACAATATGCTGCATACACACACAGTCATATATATATATACTGTATGTTTAAAATAGAGACATAAAATCAGTTTAAGTGACCCATGAATCAAAGAAGCACAGATTACTGGACACACTTATATGGACATCACTGTTAGCTGTACATGTGTGTGTACCTGCTCTTTGGCTCAGGAAAATCGTTCTCTTGGAGAGGGGCCAGAAATGGAAATTTCAGAAAATTAGGGACAGAGGAGGAGGAGCGGAGACGAGCACGCAGACCACCCAGAGGACTGAGATGGAGAGATGGAGGGGAATAAAGGAGGAAGAAATGGATGAAAAGAGAAACCTGTTCACACAGAAGACACTTGGCTGTCAGACAATGAAAGACATGTTTAGTCTTCCTCTGTGTGAACAGGGCCTCACATAATAACATGGGAAAAAGGTCAAAATAAGGATTGAACAATCAATAAGTGTTGAACAGAAAAGCAGTTCAGTGCAGCTCACCGTCTTGTATTGAGACGAGCTCCAGCAGAAGGTGAGGAAGGATGATGAGGAAGGAGAGGAGAGTGAGATGAAGGGCAGGGAGGAACAGGAGGAAGGGTGGAGTCCGCTGGGACATGTCTGAGAAACAGTGCAGCAACAGAACCAGAACGCAAAGATACTGAAAAAGGCTGAAAACTGACAAAAGGCTGAAGACAGAAAGCAGGACATTTAAAGGAAATGCACTGAAAGCAGAGTTTGTATGTGTAGATGAAGCATTTCTGTAGATCATCACAAACTCCAGTGTAATATGATTAATAATGCTATTCCTGTTTTAAACTGCAACACTACAACTAAAACAAAAGACATTTAATAATCTGTATTTATTTGACTTTTTCTACCTTAAATATGACCCCACAGATTTAGCTTTATACATATTGTTTTCCCATCTGCAGTAGTACCTCCAAACACCTGTCAACAGAGTTCGATGTGTTATATTAGAATAGTTTCCCTTCAACTGTGAACACTCCTACATTACATAACCACACTTTCCGTGACTTTTGAACCTTTGTTAACCAAGGTTCATTTTAAGTTTTTTGTTTTTATTGTAGGCCTACAGACAAAAAAGAGGGAAGAAGCAGAGTTTGGTCCAAGAGCAGTACAAATATCAAAGCCAAGATTTTGAGAAATGATTCATCAGTTTTCTGACAGGAACTGATCTCTATTGTATGCAATAAAGCCGGCTGTATACTTCAATATTGAGTTATATTATATTGATAAGAGATTACAAGAGATGTTCACTACTTGTTTCCCTTTGCTGTCATAGAGGAAACCAAGGTATGACACGCTCTACCGAACATGCGTCAACCACCCGTGAGACTGCCGTCACAGGCTTATTCCTGATTGTCTCCGTTAATACAGAGGGATCAAATATGTTCAGGAGGATACAAGTTGTTAATACCACAAAGCCTGTGAAGACATGCAACATATTCACTTTACAGGCAACTGCAACCAATCCCCTCCAATTTACTTAAATCCTAACTTAATATCTATTAGCAGTGAGACACACGTCTTGTGTACTGCCCATGATTAACATGTGAGAGCATGTTGTAATATGTGACACTGGAAATGACGTGGAAATACTTGGGTCCAACACTGTATTTCACCTGTACGAAAACACACAAACACACAGAAACCAAACACTCTTCTTACTTGCTCTGGTGTGGAGTGTCGGTGCTGACGGAGTAGTGTCGTACGAGCTTGGGCTTGGTAGCAGCGGTGGGGTTCTGTGGTGAGTTAGTTTGTGTGAACACTGGTGAGTACTCTGCTGATGAAGGGGTGGGGGGGTGGCTGAAGGTGCTGGCCCGTCGGCGGAAGCCCTGAGGCTGAGCTTCACCGGGTAGAGAGGAAGAGGAGGGCGACAGGGTGAGAGAGGAGTCCAGGAGGTTGAGGTCTCCTGTTGAGTTGTGGCACCTGAAGGGGATGAGGTCAGATGTGAGGAGAAATATACAGTATCATATCCACTAACAGCTGTTTATAGATCCAAGGGACAAACAAGTGTGCAGTGCTTTCTAATTTAAAGAAAGTCCAGGCAAGTTTGCAAATCATTTGAGCAGCTTACTTCTGTTCTCAGAATTGTGCTATAGGGGGGTTTGTGCGTTGGGTGTTGTTTAACGCTTATTTTTGGGGTTAGGCGGTGTGAATTGGCTCTGATCATGTGCTGAGTGGGTGAGCTTATTGAAAAACCCTGACCCACACATCAATACATTTATAAGCTTTGAGCTTGAATTTAGCTCGGCATAATCCACTGTTTGTTCTAAAAACAAAAGTGTTTTGTTTGGCATAAAACTGCAGGCAAATCTCTTTGTGTCAGTAACAACGTCCTGTCCTGAAATCGTATACCGATAGACAGGTGCATGCTGGTCCACTCTGAGTATGTTGTAATTAGTTTACTATAATATAATTAGGTTAAAATAATTTAACAGGCTGCAAATAGCTTTTTGTTTATTTATAATTCATTTACCAGGCAGAGGGTACTCAGTGCACCATGGCTGATTTAGTTAATGTCTGTACTTTGTGCAGTTCTTTTTTTTGTTGGTTTAATTATCAATCTATTCTCGAGACTTGTCTTTCCCTAAAGACACTTAGATTGTCTATAAATCCCTACTTTAGACTCAGCGACATATAAACACCTATAATCATGAATTGCTGTAAAACAAGTAGAACTGCTTTGACCTTAAAATCACTGACAGGTCTTGTCCTTAAACATAAACCAGTGTGACGGCATGTGTGTGTGTTTAGGTGTGTTTACTTGAGTGGGCTGGTGGGTCTCAGCTGGGAGGAAGCAGGTAAGGGGTCATCTAGACACGCCTCGTCCTGACTGCTGTTCACTGTGCAAATGGAGGAGCCGCTGTCACTTCCTAAACTGTTGTCTCTCTGAGCTCTGGCCTTGCTGCTCCCCTGAAACACACACACACACACACACGCCAAGGTTACACAGAGCACAGCTTTAAATGTAACCAAAGATGACAAAAGATGGCAAGACTTCAAGGACATTTATCAAGTTATTCCCCATTTCTATGTTCAAAATTAACTCACTGCTACATAGTTTGGGTTTCTCCCTCTGATAAGCATGAACAATTTGTAATTTTCTGTATTATTAGTATATTATATACTATCCTATGTGTATGTACAGTATGTCTATGCTCCTGTAGTATCTTGGACTTTTTTTAAGAACATTTTTATAATCCAGAATATTTTATATTGTTTATATTTGATATACTATTTCTAATTTTCATTTAATGTGTAATTGTTGATTCTCTATTTCACTTTTTAAGTATTTGTATTTTAATGTTGAACACACTGCTTCTGTAAGAAAATAATTTCCCAAATTGGGATCAATAAAGTATATCTATCTATCTATCTATCTATCTAGATATCTATCTATCTATCTATCTAAAATGTGAAGATTAGGAATTATAAAATTGAGCTAACATCACAAAGAAGCAAAAATGATAGACAAAAGAGAATAGTTGAGCATTATTGAATAAGAACCAAGGGAGAAAGAGCATTGATACCTTCCAGATGCCCTCCAGAGACTCGGTGAGAGAGCGCTTGGCTCGGCTCTTGAACTGTTCAAGTCTCTGCCGACTGCTGCTCTGCTGCGCCTCCACTGGGGCGGGGGCTGCCTCCTCACTGACCTGCACACAGAGAGCAAGACACTTAGGAAGTTGGTAAGTGTGAGAGAGAGAGAGAGAGAGAGAGAGAGAGAGAGAGAGAGAGAGAGAGAGAGAGAGAGAGAGAGAGAGAGAGAGAGAGAGAGAGAGAAGGAGCGAGCGAGAGATGAGAGATCGAGAGAGGACGGAGAGAGAGAGGAGAGAGAGAGAGAGAGAGAGAGAGAGAGAGAGAGAGAGAGAGAGAGAGAGAGAGAGAGAAAGAGAGAGAGAAAGAGTCCTCTCAAGTATAGTTATCTTTTCTTGTTGAACTACTCAGTCATAGGACTGATGACCCTTTAGAGCAGGGTCGTCAAACTCAAGGCCCACGACTTCATTTGATGTGGCCCCGCAAGAGCTTGCAAAGAATATAATACGTTTATTATACGGTTACATGCCACTTTACAGAAGTACGTTGTCCATAAACTACATGTCCCACAATGCATCTCATTTTGTGACATGCGCACTGAAGAGACTTGCAATTATTTGCCCTAGACTTCTACTTTCAGACGTAGTTAATTATGAAGTTATTACCCTATCCGATAATAATCCAATGCAGAGGCAATAATGTCATATAATATATTATTTTATATATATTATATATTTATATTTATATAGTCTTAAAGTTGCAACCATAATGCTAATGTAGCCCGCGATGAAATTGAGTTTGACACCCCTGCTTTAGAGGAAATGTAGAACATAACTGGAATAAAGGAAAGAAAAGAAAAAGAGAAAGAAAGAGGTGCAGTAATGTTTGTGTGTGAAAAGAAATGTAAATAAAGTTACCCGTCTGTCTCCAGGCAGGAGGTGCTGATGGCTCTTCTGCTTCTCCTCATAAAGATTCCTCAAAGAGGCCATCACCAACTCGTTCTCTTCCTGATCACTTTTAGGACGAGCCCTCTGAAACACAGACAATCATTTTTAAATGACATCCTTTTGTTCAACCCCAAAAAAACGCAGTGGTTTTCTGAGCTGATCTATTGATAGTTTAGCACTGTTTGAGTGTTGCAGTTCAGCTACATCACCAACAGGTGTCAGCAGAGCAATACAGGAATATGTGTGTGCATTCACCTCCCAAGACTTATCTTTAACTGTACAACAATCCCTTGAAACAATGATGGATAAAAAACATAATTAGGCTCAAAGGTCCATTTCCAACAGTAATATTCATGTGATTTGACCACAACACATCCCTACTTTACCGTGGGATAGAGATTGATGTGTTGAGAAAAACATGAAGAGCAAAACAGACCAGAAATATAGAGGGGTGAGGTGGCAAAAATAAACAAGTTACATGTAAAGATGAATCAGTGCGCCATTATATATTCCACATGACAGACATGTGATTCAGCAGTGAATTACTTCTGATGGAAATTGTAGACTGAATGGTTTGTTTGTTGTTTTTTTACACAGAGCAGACACGTTACCATGGTGTTTTCGAAGACTGATGCTTGCTCCTCATTGTCCAGAGTGGCGAGGTGTCTCTGAAGCTCCAGCTTGGTTTTAGACGGGGAAAGACCTGAAAAATATTGTAAAGACAAAATAAAAACACACTGCCGACAAGAATAGCTTTATGTCGGATTTGTTCTACCTAGTAAGTGCGTATTTATAAAAGTATGTAGGGTACTACGGGTCAGTGGTGTGGCCTTCTCATATTGTATACCTCTTAGTTTATTGGTGAGCAATATGACCTTACACCCAATGTGATGCTGTACTACTCTATATAGATATTAATATACATACATTTGTACACATTAAGAATTGAAGGCCTTATTACAAGTATGTGCATACAGACATAGCATATTCACTTTTCCTTCATTTAAAAAAATGTTGAAACATTCATCAAATTCAGATGTCAACTTTCAACTGTGTCAACTCGCAGAACACATTTAATACACATATCAAATATTTATGAAATCCACTGCTAGGTTCAGCCATTTGCCACTACATTTCAATTATTTAACGAAAGTAAATGTGATGGTGGAACCGAAAGTCTCTTTTATTTTACTACAGGCATATTAAAAGGTGTATACAAATGTATAAACTTGACCTATCAACATTACTCCAACCAACTACGAGTTCAAAATGCTTCAGTTTTCTACCTTCTATCCTCTCACACAGTCGGTGGAGCTGCTGCATGGGACAGCTGTCGCACTGCTGACTCTGGGTCTTTGCATTCTGCAGCAGGGCTGCCACAGAGAACGCCTGCTTCAAAGTCAGCATGATCTCGTCCACCTACAAGAGCAAAACACAGTCTTCTTTATGCTTTTCATTTATCCACCTTCAAAAGAAAGCCATTCAATGCCTTTATCAGTTGCTTCTCCCAGTATTTGTACACACAGGCTGCTTTTGAGAATTGTATTCCTCTATGAAAAAAATATTTTAACACATTCACCCTATTAGGACTAGAGGATTTATTTTACGTTTTTATATTTAATATATTTATTTCCATTCTGTGCCTAAAACAGCCCTGTCCTACTGAAATGTTATGTAAGTTTCAATATATGGGGGAAATCTACGTCTGTGCAGAAACATCTTATGCAGTATAAACCTGGTGGAAGTAACAGAAGTAAACAGGATATTCAAATGTTCCCACAGGTCGTTCAGTTTACTCTGGCAGCAAATGTTCCCACAGGTCGTTCAGTTTACTCTGGCAGCAGTTATTTACTGACCCAGTGACTCATTGTTTAGAATAAGAATAGGTATCTATCTAGTATAAGCTAATCACAATGCAGCATTAGCTGACTTTTATACAATAGACTGCATCCGTCTAATGACAAAGGCCTTTTATCAAACCGATTTATTTGTCCATTTGGCAGACCGTGGACTCAGTGGAGCACAGAGGCACTGAGTCATGGGACTGAAGAGTTCAAGCAGAATTTGATCTTGATTGACATTAAACCATTTTTGGTTAAAAATATCAGCTTAATGCAGCTTCATGCCCAAATTCAGAGGTGACTTACTGTAGGTGATTTTAAATTAAAATGAGTGGGATGATTTAATATGAACACCGAGTGGAATTACCCCACCATTTTTCTGCAGAAAATGTATAAAAAAGGGCAAATACTCGTGAATTGTCATGTTATACACTATATCTCATTATTTTCTAGTTCTACAATGCTCTCGCTACATTATCTGTCTCTCACCAGTGTTTCGTCGGTGCACTGGAAGATGTAGCACACAAAGTGGCAGCTCCCTCCTTCCACTGTCTCCCTGCAAATGAAGCCAAAGTGATCCACGTGACGAATACCCTGGAAAGTAAAGATCAGCGGATTCAGGATAGGTTTAAGAACATAAAGACAAATAATAAAAATGGTAATGTTGTAAAATGCAATGATTCACACCTGTGAGCAGAAGGAGATTTCTTTGAAACTCTTCTCTATGGCAACTTTCTTGGTGTCCGGACTAACCAAGAAGATCTGAGACCTGCCCACCTGAAACAAAGAAACACAATATAGTTATTGTCTTAAATGGAAGTGTCTGGGCCTGCGGTCTATAGAGTGTGCTGTGTGTGTGTGTGTGTGTGTGTGTGTGTGTGTGTGTGTGTGTGTGTGTGTGTGTGTGTGTGTGTATGGTTTGTGGTGAGGTTTTTGACAGCAATAATGAGCTACACAGGTTTAAATAGATACGAAACCAATCCAATTTTCAAACATTTACGACATTAGCCTTTTTAATAAGGTTTTATATAAAGGGGAGCCTAAAAATAATACCTTTAGATCTTTTCTTAATAACCGGATTTGTCAAATTAGGCAGTTTCATTTCTTTTTTTTTTTAATCGAAAAACGTAAAAAACTATTTTTGAACAGTTCCGCTTTCGGGATTTTCCTACGTATGCCATCATTAGGAAATGAGTCGGTATTACTCCTAAACCTAGGACTCATATGTTTGTAATAAACAAGGGATTTCATGTTCGTTAAATCCCATGTCCTCACATTCCACCAACACGGCTATTCTTTCTGTGAACATGTGGCCCTTCACTGTTATTCTGATCCCAATATGAATCACAAAATGAGACTTTTTCTAGAGGAGATGGAAGATTTCATCTATGTCTCTTAAATGTAGGTGATGATGTCACCAGGATGAGGTTATTCTGTCTACTCTCCCCTGCCAGCAGCGGGATGTATCATCAGTGTCAATAACATGTGTGTATCTGCTGAGGGGACAGCTACAGGCCCTGGTGGTTCCTGTGCCACTGGTCACCATTTCCTGTCTGGAGGACAAACAGGAAAAAGGGTTGGCAGCAGGTCACAACCCGTTAAATAGAGGAGAATGACTGAGATCGTTTTGAGCATCAGTCAGCATTTGCCCTAGCTGAGTCACTAGGGGATTCATTTATTTGACTATTTTGCTCTCACCCTCTCTGCTTTATGAACAACTGAGTATGAGGACTTTTTTATTTATTCTAAAAGTGCACTTCACAGCACTATAAAAAAGAATTGTGTGGGAGCTGGAAGGACTCACAAATTATATATATTTTTTTAAACCAACCTTATAGTAATGTATGTATCCTCTGTTCATCCTGAAACCATCCAAAGCTATGCTAAATGACCATTAAAATACAGAGCATGAGACTGCAGCACCATCCAATTATGTTTTTTCTTCTGTTAGTCACACACAGTCGGCACCAAGATCATTAGAAATGCCATATAGGTAATAATGCCTTATATGTATAACTGCAATATTTGTTATCTTACCAACCCACTGATGACAATGTGCAGGAATTAGTCATTTTCTTTTTCATGATTATATACATTATTTTTTGTAGGTCAATCTTTACCGTCATCCTTCTGCGACACAAATGAAGGTCCTTAGCAATAATGTCGAGTGAATAAGTCGCAGACTATCGAAACATGTGTTTGACAACAAGACATTGTCTTCTGTAATATACAATGTTTTTGGCTTTAGTGACTAGCACACAACCATATTTGGGGACATATTAAGAGTGTGTGTGAGTGTGAGTGTGAATGTGAGTGCGAGTGTGAGTGTGTGTGTGTGTGTGTGTGTGTGTGTCCATTCATGAATATTACCGTAAACAGCATGGTCCTGTTCTCCTGCAGGCTGAGACACTGTACTCCAGCAGAGTGTGTGTGTGTGTCAGTGGTGTTGGTGTGAGAGATCTCAGGTGAGAGTCCGTTCTCATCCAGGGCCTGCAGGCAGGGGAAGCTGGGGTCTCTTTTGAACAGGACAGGACGCTTCCCTGCGGTGGGGCTCCCTGCAGCGCCATTATCAACATCGCCACACCCAAGTCCATTGGACTGAAAGGATAATGCCTTCCTCAGCCCACCCAATGCCCCACTGTTTCCTCCTTTATCCTCCCTCCCTGAGCCTTGCAACTGGCTGAACTTCTCGATGCACTCATCTATCAGGGCGGGGGGGGCTTTCTTGTGAGCAACACTAACGCGGCCGCAAAACAGCACCTCAAACTTCTTGGAGAACGCTGTCGGAGACAAAGCAGCACAGGTTGCCACGGAGGTTGTCGTTGTGGAGACCGAAGAAAAGCTAGTTTCAGAGGAATCGCTGCCTCCAGAGGAAGATTTGTTGGAGATGGGAGCGATGTCATCGCTGCGGGCCGAGCTCTTGCCAGCCTGCCTCAGCGTACTGATGATCTCAGGAACCTGCAAGGAGAGCAAGCAGAATTTGTAATTACAGTAATAAAACACTTAATCACATGACAGTTGAATGGATGCATTTCATCATATCCATTGAGCATACACTCTACTGGAAGTCTACTGTAGAGCACAACAATGAAACCTCAGTAAAGGTGAAACTACACGTGATGCGGGTCCCGATCTGTCTTCATTCCTGAACTAAGACAATGTCTCCAAACTCATCCATGCAGCTAGGCTCTGTGCTGTTAACAGCAACATGACAGACTGTTCTGTTGCAATTTCTTATGTGTATAACCTATGTGTGTCTTCTATTTGACTCTTTACATTTGAAAGCTTCTAAAAATACTTGAAAGTTGCTTTATCAATGATTCACATTTTTTTTGTCATTTGTGCAACTTATATTAAGAAGAATGTTGCTTTTTCTACAACAAAAACAATACCAATGCACAGATTTTGACCCAGTAAAGTATTTGTGGTTGTTTTTTTGTGTATGCATTTGTTGATGTATTTCTTTCAAAAGTTAGGTTTACGTCCTTATGACAGGTGTAGCAAATTTGAGTTTCACGAAAAACGTCCATAGTCCATCTGGTCTTTGTGCATTACTTTATATGACAACTCTAATGCTACGATTATGTTTATATCAAATAAACTCATTAACTACCTAAACGTACAAACTTTATCCTCAAGCTCAAGTTTCTGCAAGTTATTGAAAACACAATATCTACTGATGGACAGTAAAGTGCCATGAGCCATTGCCAGTATAACGTCTCTTCAGCACTGATGGCTGCCCACAGTGGCAATAGTAAGTAAACACTGGGATAAACACTGAATATACAGTAAAGACACCAGCTTTTTGTTGTTACAATGTAGATGTCACACCTCACTATGAGCTAAGCTGTCATATGCTGTAATGTCTTATGGTTCCCTGACATAGTGAAGCCCTTGTGACGTCCTGTGTTGAAAAGAAGCTTTAATATTGACCTTTAGTCTAAAAGCAGGCTTTGTACTCACTTTCACTTTATTTGAATCCCTTCTTTCTTCCTGACTACCCCTTTCACTTTTTCCTCTTCACTCTCTGTCAATACACTTTTTTCTCTTGCTATAAAACTATTTACAACTGAATTTTACAAGTATCTCCATCTCGAAGTGTTTTTATTGTGTATATTCTAGATCAGTGGTTCTCAACTGGTGGGTCGCGACCCAAAAGTGGGTCGCGGACCCGTTTCGAGTGGGTCGCGGATGTGTGAGTGAAGAAAAAAAAGTTGGAAAAAAAAAATTGGAATTTTTTTTTTTTTTTTTTGGGGAAAAAGTCAAACTTTTATTTTGAAGGCCCGATTTTCTTCTCAGAGTGTACCAGAATGCGTAGTTTATGTTAGTATTTCTAAAAATCTCCTGGGGAAAAATCCCCCCAGACCCCCCTGCTGGGGTTGGGTTTCAGCATGTGTGCCTTTTTATATAGTTCAGCTTTGATTCCATCATCTCATTAAACCTTTTTTAAAAGCATACTTTAGTTCTGTGAAGGGATATAAGGGATATATGCACTGTACTTCACTTTTATTAATATTGTATGCTCAAAAGCGTATATATTACAGCACGATTTTTTGTTGAATAGATTTGAGTGCTTCAAAATGTTGGGTCGCGATGTATTGACCAAGTAAAAAGTGGGTCCCGAGGCCTGACCAGTTGAGAACCACTGTTCTAGATGTTCTGCTTAAAAGCTAAATATTCTCAGCGCCACTATTTGTGTTTAAGTGGGAGAAACAGACTTTTGGAAAAAATGGATCCATCTATTCCTTGCCTAGTTGCCTGCTCAGAAGATTCATGAACCATGACCATTTCCATCACCTACACATACTCCTCATCTTGGCATTTACACAAAGACAAAAATCCAGACATGCAAACACACTCACACCAACTGTAACAGAGACTAAAAAAGCACATAACAAAAGAAAGGAAAGCAGAAGTATGATAAAAATGTTGTTACCTTGGGAAATGTATTAAATACAAACTGTTTCTGAAGGGTTGCAAGTCCTTCTGAAACAGATATTTAACTTAACACTTGGACAAAAAAGCATATGACACACTGATGGTTCCATCTTGCATGAACTACATTTGAATGTTTCAATGTTGGGGGAAACCAGAACACTTTTTGGGGGGCTTAGCTCATCATCAGGGGTTTAGTTAGTCTTTTATCTAGGGATGCTTGTGAGGAACAAGCAGTAGGACACAAGCAGCACTGTTGGTTCACCGCGGATAGTTTCATGTTATGTTTACTCAGCAGCTGAACATGTATTTTAATATCAACTCTCAAACAATTGCAGTTGCATGGCAGCAGAGAGAAGCACAGCGCTGCCTCTCTGTCCCTCCGAACCCTGTGTCTCTCTCTGGCTGATGTCCCAAAGGATACAGCAGTCAGGATGTGAGCATGACGAGCAATTATACACACTCACTGCTACCCAGACACTTTGTCCAGGAAACTGTAGTACAGAGAGAGATTATGTGTTATATTGATTTATATGACTTGGCTGTGAATTTTGTTTTAACAATCTATCTAAACACAAATGTTCATACTTCATAGATACAAGCCGGTTTGGTAAAAAAAACAAAAACAGGCAGAATTGGAAACAGAGCAGAGCAGCAGAAAAGGCTTTGTTGCTTTTATCCGACTTCCTGGATATAAATGTTCAGATTATTATTTCTGTATCCAACAGTTACAAAACAATTGCTCTGTAATAGAAGGAACATTTACTTGCTACAATATATAATTTCTTTAGTTTGTAGAAGGGTTTTTTGTATATTTTTAACATCGAATGAAACAGTACTTCTTGTCCTGGTCATTCAAATATTTGTTATTTTTGTATCTAGCAGATACAAAATAATGATTCTGTAAGAGCAGGAACATTCACTCGCTAGAATACATATTATTTTGCTTTGTAGTAAGAAGTGCTTCTTTATAAATGTGCTAAATCTAATGTAACAGTACTTCTTGTCCTGGTAATTCAAATATTTTGTCTATAAAATAGACAAGTAATGGACAAGTAGAAGAAGAATGTTTAAGAAAAGAAAAAAAAGAGGCTAGCTAAGGTTAGATAAACAGGCTAGGGGCAACCAGGTCAGTACTTCACCAAAAATATATAATATAACATTTTAGTATCAAGACTGTAGACTTGAAAGGTGGTCATTCTGCTTCTTATATCCAGTCAGTTAAAACGAACTCAAATGCATGTCTAAATAGTGACATGCATAGCCTTTTGAGGCAATAAACCAATTCTCATCTATCTGAATATACTTTGTGTGTTCCAAACGGCCATCGTCTCACAGAGATATAAAATACAAGTCTTTATTTGTTAAGCAAAGCTGTGGCAGTTTTGAGGACACTTGTGAGCCATTCCAAGCTGTTTCAATATTGGTTTGATAAAAACACTTTTCATTCAGATGCATCCCACTGTGTTGAACTATTGAGTCAGTTTAAAAGAAATACAGTAACATGCTAAATCTTAATCCGCCAAAGTTCCAAGAGTGCATCAACAGAACATTTGGGTGTGGGCAATGGATATTATTACTGATACAAATAGGTAAAAGTGGCTAAAAAAAGTGACACCGGAAACATTTCTTATAAGCTGTCGCTGATCATTGTCAACCAAAATAAAATATCAGCAACAAAAACCAGCAAACGTGTGTTGCCCTGGCCGGTAACTCAGCTGATAAAGCTGATAACACGTGTTTCAATCAGACCCGCAGCTCTTTGTTTTGGTTTGTAAATACTCAAGTACAGTAAATCTGATCTGTGTGCTAGATAACCTTAAGATCATTGTCACGTGGAAGAGCTATACTGTGTTTTGTTCCTTTCATCATTGTTGATCTGAATACAGCAGGAACACTCTGTGCTGCTGACTTGTACCATTTTGCTGATCATTGACACTTTATCTTAAGGCCATTTTACAGAGAATACACTGCTCTCATCCTAACTGATTACATGCAGACTTTCATCTTTAGAGTGACTATTATTATTCCTGCAAAAAAAAAGAAGAAGCAAGCCGAACATAATATCACAGCTAACACGTTTTGTTTTTACTTTTTAATGTATTTTCTACTTTAAGCACAGGACCAATGTCTTCACCAATTACGTAGGCTAAACAATATAGCTATGGGGAAGTTGTAGTGGGAAGTTTGAACTCATGTTGTTTTGCGATTGTGTGCATATTGAGTTCATGATGCTAAATAATGCAGAAATGTCAGGACAATGAAAAAAAACAACAACCTAAACAGTTCTGGGTAATCTTGTTGTTTTTAGTTGTACTTCCTTTTATTTATTTAACTAAAAAATAAACAACGGACAAAATATATCAAGCTACAGAAATATATCATCAACAAAAAGGGTGTAACGTCATAATAGGCTATAACCTTTGTCGGCCAACGTACACCTGCCTCTCCTGTTGTGAGCCTGGTTTGTTTCAGCTCACTGGCAGTGAAGCAGACAAAGGAACAACAAGGAGGAAGTAGAGGAGCGAGGCAGAAGCAGTGGTTGAGGCAGAAGCAGTGGTTGAGGCAGAACCAGTGGTTGAGTCACATCAGTGATGTCATGAACCAGAGATGCCTGAGCAGCTCCTAAAACTGCCGTCTCACAGACTGACACTCACACAGTCCTGTTGGGTCTTGCCTCAACATGAGATGTGCACACTCCTGTTTTTTTTTTATCAAAACAATTCTGGCCTCATTTTGTTCTATCACAACTGCTGTGAATAACTGCGTCAGAGAAATGGCTCTAGTGTCAAGAATGGGCACTCTTTTTCAAGAAATATCCAAACAGCAAGTTATTGGTAAGACTTGAGTAAGTACATTAACTCAGGTATTGAATTTGCGTACAATTTTGAATTACTACACTACAATTCTGAGGAAAATATGATACTTTTACTCCATTACATTCAGCTGAAATGATCATGAAAGTCATTCCTGGGGATTTAACCACTTTATATGACCTAGTAGAAATGAACTCCACCACAAGC